GCTACGCTTGCTTCCGATTTTTCTCATACAGTTGCCATCTTTATCAAAAACATATACACAGTTGCCAAGGTTATCTGTCACAACTATCTGGCCTTCTGTATTCACAACAACTCCATATAACCGTTCAAGCGTGTGCCCTGGAAAGAACTTTAACTTCAACTCACCGACCACGACAAGTTCACGTTCTTTAACCTGCACAGTGATAGGACAGGTTGGTAGTTTATCGCCATTAATCTTCACCTCAGTGCTGTAGGCCCCAGGTACTTTGGGAATAAACTTCAGCCTAACGTTACCGTCATATTTCTCATCAAGAGTCACATTCGTCACATCTTTGGCGGATGTTATTAGCAATTCGACTTCATCTTTGAGATCAGCGTGGTCACTCATCTCTCGCCAGATGTCCGTGGGCACAACGTAAACTTTGCTTCTACACCAACTTGAAAAGTTTGATCCAGTCCTTCTAGAGTTGATTTAGCTGCGATTGCCGGCTTCTCGGAGACCTGAATAGAACCCAGTTTAAAGTTGTGTTGCGATGCGGCAGTAAATTTGACAAATGTAGCCTGGCGATGTTTTGGAACTTCAACTCTACGAAGCTCTTCAAGTTTCTGCCTCAATTTGTTTTTGTTCTGTATGATATCCACAGCTGATCTTCGTTGCACCAGACTCTCCGCAAATTCAGCTGCTTGGTTAATTTTTTTTATTAGAGATTCCAGTTCTTGTTTAGCCGAGTTGATTCGTTCTATTCTTTTTTTACGTGTGGCATTCGTTCTATTCTAAGGACTCTAAGAGCTGTTTTTCTTGCTGTCTCGTCTTTGTGATCACGTCTTCAGTTGCCTCCGACACTTCCTGTTTAGCGATTGCAATAATCATTTCCACATCCTCTGATGTTTTTTCTAACTGTGCTCGAAACAAGTTTACCTTTTCCTTGATGGTCTCGACAGTCGACATAATGTTTTTCTTATCCTCTTGCATTGCTTTTTCAAGCATTTCAAACGCATGGCCTCGGTGGTCTTCGGTGACGCAAATCGGACAAATACACGCTTCACACGAGGAGCAGTAATATCGTACTCTTTCTTCCGTATGTTGCGAGCAAGTGTCCAGTTGTTGACTCGCAATGGCTTCGCAATCTTCCGCTTCAAGAAGGACACCTAACAGACTTTTGTGGAAAAAGCTGCTAGGCAAGCGGTCGAAGCAATTTCCTTGTGGTAAATCGATTTCTGCCTGACACTCGGGGCATCGGAA